TTTAGTTTAATAAGTTTGAAATAAAAAATACCGAATCCAAATCAAAAAACCTGAGTCAAACTAAAAAATTATATCAATTAAAAAAACTAAACCAAATCAATTTAAAACTGTTTTTATTTTAAAAACCAAACTAAATTAAAACCAGTTGGTCTCGGTTTAAATTGGTTTACATTCAATTTTTTTATAATATTTTAATTTGATTATTTTTTATATAAAAACTGAAATGAAGCGTAAATAATCACCTCACGTATCATATAAATTTAGCTGTCATACTTGATTTATTTTCTAATCAGATGATTAATATAGATAATGATCGGAGGAGATTTTCTGCCCCCTTGTGCTGAAAGATAATAGCCTTAGAAATAATTTCCTCTCTCAAATTATTCGTATCTGATACGAATATTGTTATCCAACCGATTCTGCTGATGTCCAACGTAGCAAAACAAATTGGCTATGCCAATGATTAGGTTTCAAAAGCAACGATCTCAGCAAAAGTTTCCCTTGTGGCAAACAATAATGCTATTTTTATTTTCACAAGCTAGGAGGATGCAAGACTTGAAGCTCTACATCATACGACAGTTTATATACCTGGCCCATTGGCCCTCGGAGCTCTTCATAGTCAATGCTTTATCTGGTGACTTTGCAACACTAAGCATGTCAAGAGATGAACTGACATCCAAGGAACCTTAATCATTTGAACTAAAAGCTTCCCTTTGTCCCATTTGAATGTACCAATTTCAAGAACATTATGCAGTGCTTCAGTCGATAATCATACAGGTTCTTAGGTCTGGTGGAATGCATTTAGACTAAAATGGATTTTCGCTCACTGCAAGCTTACTTCCCTGAACAAACAGGGCACTTATTTTTTCAAACAAGCAGAAAAACTTAATCAATTTACTTCAACTTCACTCATGTTTGTAGCATTATCAAAATGATTCTCGGACAGGGAAATTTCTTGGTTACACAAATGATCATGGGCCAAGATTTGCCTTTTCCTTCTGAACTTCCACCAGAGTAAATTATCTCACTTACTACAAACCCTGGACTCCTTCATTAACTAGCTACCCTTTTCTGCAGGAAAGACCCAGCACAGTATTCTTTGAGCCATAAATATACAGCAATGCACCATTGTTCATCGATTAAATAATAGAATCACAAGTCTCGCCATGTTAAGGGGTTAGCTGCATTTGCCTAGATTTCATTTGTTATGCTTTTAAGAACGCAAAGATGTATATCATAATAACTTCCATATATTGCCAACAAACATGTAAATAGAATGTTAGTTGGCAACGAAAGTCAACAATTGCGTAAGGCTTTCTTTGTGAATTCAACTGGCAGCAACACATATTTCTGGGGCTGAACCTGTTCAAATGAAGTTGGCATTTCAGTATTTTTGAGCTTAAAGTTTCTCTGTCCCCATTGAACGTGTCGATTAAATGAAGGCAAACTGTTCATACAAAATCATCTTTCGTCACTAAAAGTAAGAAACAACTTTCTCGTTACCAGTAAATAAGAGATTTTTCTTAATTTCACTCCACTTCCACTCAAATGGTTCTTCAGATTTATACTTCCCGGAGATTTCCTAGTTCGCTTATATCCGAGACCAATGATTAGTCCATCTGCAAAACCTATAGGCAGAAAGAAGGAATTTTTTTTTAATAAAAAACAGAATCTTGATCATACAGACAATTCTTCTCATGCAGATTGCTTATAAAAAGACCTCGGCTGCCTTGTATTAAAAATGGGAAATAATACAGTTGGCTCTTTATCAATGACGATGAAAATCTATCATTACCTCCACTTTCAGGGAATAAAACACTTTTCTTTTTGGAAATACTATATGAAACAAAATTTCAAAAGCAGGAGCAGCTCCCTTAAAGCATGCCATGTTCTCAGGACAGGATGCACCCACTCTAAAATTATCAATCCTTTTCTCTCCCATTGGTTTCTATGGCATCTTTGTTTTGTTTGTGATTATCTGACTTGACCCGTCAAAATTCCCCTCAAATGTAATTTGCCATTCCATACAAGCACAGAATTCCCTTTCCCATTCTGCACATGAACTCAAACAGCCAAATTAAGAAATGAAGAGAAGGAATCTGGGATCATGGAGTAGTTATTGCTTTGTCTTAATATTTTGGCCTACTCGGTCGCATCCTTAGCTATTGATTTTGAATTTATTATTTCGTCTAGGATAATAACTCTGCTGCTTGTAATTTATCCTTCTTCCTAACCCTGCGTTGTCAAAGTCTTCTTTGTTGTTATTTTAACTCCTAGTTTATGATTCCAAGAAACATAAGATGAAGTTTTTGCCGATAATATTGTTTAACATCTCTCTTTTAAATTGCAGTTTGTCAACAAAAGAAGCCTGTGCCTTTACCTATAAACCATTTCTTTTAACATTTCAGCTGCTAGGAACTCTATCTAACCAGTAACCATTAGCATCTTAATATGTTAAATTTCATCGCTGAGCAGTCAGTCATCCAGCAATCTCAGGGATATTGGATGTCATTTGGTACACTGGCCTGTTTATTCATCTCAGCAGTAAAATCTTTAATTAATTTATTCTGAAGTTCGAGTAGCACAAGCAAGAGCTTGCAATGTAGTGTTAAATTACTGTTTAGCGAATTCTCTTACCTAGTGAGATGAGAATACCACATGCCTTCATGTGGACTACATGGTTTTAACCTTCAAGATAGAGGCTTTGTTGATATTTTATCTCAAAGCAGAGGCTTCGCTTGCCCGTATCTTTCTTCCAAATTAAATTAGTTTTCTTGTTGCCATGGGAATCTAAATGTGCTAGAAAGATGACTGGGAGGAAGATGAAACCATGCAGTAAGATTCAATGCATTCTGAGGCTCTTTCTGATAATTTATTCAGATATAGTTATCCTTGTTGGATTAGCAGAGTGCAGTCAATATACATGTATATTAACATCATCTGTCCGGTCCACTTTTTTTCTATATGGTCAATCCAACCCTTTATATTTCTTTCTGTTCTTTTTCCTTCTTGTGAAAATAATGAAAAGGAAAAGAAAAAAAGAAAAGAAAAAAAGAAACAGAAACAGAACACAGGCCTTTATTTTACTTAATTTGTAATATTCAAGAGATTGTTATATTTATCCAATTGCAGTAGTTTGGTAACATTCCCCATGTTTTTGTTTGAAACAACTCCCTTCCTTTTCATTTTCTTTCCCTGTTGCTGTCCGAACCTAAACGTATAACATGATGTAGAGGAACGAGAAATCGTCTACGATGATTCAGAGCAAACCATATCAACACTTCGTGTGTATTGTTTTTTTTGGTGTTCTTACTATTGATTACGATTATAAATTCAGGATTTTGTTCTCCTTTGTCAGACGATCTTCTACAAGGATCATGGATTTAGCTCCAAGAACAGACATCATAAACAGATCAAGATGCTTTTATATCACATTTCAGGAAAAAAAAATCTATCTGACTCAAAATAAATAAATAAAACATTAAGAAAAGCAGAAAAATGTTATCCAATAGTAGAATCATCTCCAAGCAAATTAATAATTTTGAAATCTGAAAATGCAACGGGAAATGGTAATCAAATGGGTTAATCTCTACACATTAAAACACCCTTTGACCAAAATAACAGCGAGCTAGGCTCTGTTCCGCAGTACAACTTTCAGCTATGGTAGTGAAACGCTAGTCCCCTACCTAGAATTATTTTTGGGCCCGGTGTCTACTTATCGAAAAGTTTGTACCGCTGGGCTATCCGTGAGCACGACTAGAATGCAAATGCAAGGTTCTCAGTTTATATTCTGTCCAGAATGATTGGTATAGATAAAAAACAAAACAAATTAAAAAAAATTATCAGGTTCAGAATCTCAGTCTATTCTAGAAATACTATCCAAATTCTGCGTTATATCATGATCAAATAGTGTTTTTTTCTTTGTTTTTTAAAAGAAATATTATTAATTTTATAATATTAATTATACCTCTTAATTATATCATTAGATCGAACTAAAATTTCACAATAAATCTTCTTTCATATTATTATATCTCATATTAAAATTTTAAAGCAATTAAAATTTTAAAAAAACCTTGCATAATATTTTTATAATTTTTTTAGAAATATAATTTTATTATGTTTTTTAAAATTGATTTTTTTAATTTTATTATTCAACAATGAATTTATTGATAATTAAATTTTATAATTTATTTTAATTTATTTTATTTAAATTTATTATAATTTAATAATCCAGATTTTAGATTTAAAAAGTTAATTTAAGTTAGATCAATCTAATATGCTATTTTTTTAATTAAATAATATTTTTATCGTTAATTGGATGAGGTAATATCGATTTAACTCCCCCATTTTAACTGAATATTTGTTGAATTGACATGATGTTATCTGCCATGACGAGTGGATGTTATCCGCCTCAGGCCCTCAGCTAGCAAAGCCAATAGCTGCCATGCAAATGAGCCAACAACAAAAAATCATCACATTATGATTCAAATAGAGATGTATTAATGCAACATCATGATGATCAGCACCCCTATTTATTCACAGCTGTTCTTCTAGGGACTCAGACTTGCAAAAAAAATTAAACATCGCAGAGGAATATCTGCGGGCAGGAAAGAAAGAAACCTCCCATGTCTGAACTGACTTTTGGTTATGCATGATATTCACGACACAGCTAGGGAGAAGAAAAAGAAAAAGAAACTGTCAGGAAATAGCTCCTGAAGTGAGAGCTTAAAGTTCTCAACTAAACATTTAAAAATAATCGGGTCTGAATTATCAATGAAGCTGTGGGAAGAAAATTAAATACATCACTCAATTAAGAAATTCAAAATAAGATTAGAATTTTATTGATAAAATGTTAGATTACAACAAATTCATGGAGAGTTTATATACCATTATCTACTCCTTTCAAGATCAATAATCAAATAATTCAGGTTCTTCCTTGGAAGTCAATTTGCCTGGATTCAAATTAAATATGCAACATAGATGAGATGGAGCAATTAACATTAATCCCCAAAAAGACGTTCAACATTCGATTGGTCTTACAGTGAACAAAAAGAAATGCCACCTAAATGAAGAAAATATAATAAAAGAAAACAAAAGCCAAAAAATTAGGCAATCTTGAAATGTTCTGAAGAAAAAGAGTGCTAGTACGGATTAAAAGCTTAGCTAAAGTAGTGGATAATATTCTACTTTCTTTAGGACTACAAACAATGCTGCATATTCTTTCTTTCCGGCCAGATCTAAAAACAAGAACCTTTGTTTCTCCTTTGAACATAAATAGATTAATTTTCAATCTAAAGTCATGTAAGAACTCAGATAGGCACCTCAAACACATACCAAGTACTCTGTCAAGCAATAGATAAGTTACTATCTGAAGTATTAAAGAACAGAATTAGCAATCCCTTATAACAAGAAATTAATTAGGGTACGTAGTTGAAGCATTCCTCATTCATTGGGAACATCTTTGCTGAACCTGAAGAACAAAATCATTGTTTCCATGAATATTCTTAGAAGAACATATGGTATTTCCTTCTTTTTATGCTCAAATGTACGCCAAGAACATTGATAAGAAACTGAAAAGCCAAATCGGAAAAATTCCCTGCCATAAACCCTGTAGATTTCCATCAAGAGGCATATTAAGGATCAACCAAACGTAACTGATCTACAATGTTCATTTACGAAAGAGCAACAAAATGATTGTATATGTGACTTTTGTGTATTCAAGCACATCACATACCAGGTATTATTAAAGCTTTGTCGTCAATCTGAAAACTTGCACGCATAATACACAGGTGAAAATGATGATCAAGATCTAGAGAAAGAACCAAAAGAGAAGAAAGATTTACAGAGCGAAAACTAAAGAAACACCATGTATCCAAGAAATAAAAGATGCCCACGATGTTTAATAATTTACAATATTCCTACCGATGTACAGACATAAATACTTCCTGAGATCAGATCATGTGGTGGCATGCAGTACTAAAAATCACCCGAGAAAAGCAAGTCATAGAAAAGCACTCACAGAGAATCATCACTACAGATACAAATCTCTTCAGTTAACACAGATTTGCACCGTATTTCCAATTGGATCATGACCGGAGCTGCTTAACACAAACCCCCGTGCAAGTTGGGGTTAAACAGAACAAACCCTAACAAGTATTAGTGATATTAAATTGCCCAAAACAAATTTATTAGTAAATAGCAACGTCATAAACTTAAAGAGTGCTGTTCTATTGACAATATAAGTTCAACTCAGCAATATAAGCCAATAGGGTATATCTTTCAAACTATTTAGAGAGATCACCTTCATCTTTGGGAGCCGGTAAAGATGAAAAAGGAGATAAATAAGCCATTTATTGCCGCTGCAGCATCATCAAGATTCCCAATTCAAATGGCTATTGGGTTGAAACGAAGGGACCACCAAAAGCCATCATCACCACCACTTATTAGCCCTAATAAAGTTTGTGAATCTTGATGGTGCTCCATCGGCAAACAGTGACTGGTTTCAATTCTTTTAGATCTTGGTAACCATCATCAGCATCAGCATCATCCTCATGCAAAAGAGATGTTCAAAAGACAAGGGAAAGAGTAGAGAGCTATTTGGCTGATTGGGATATTTGTTTACAAAGGGAAACCTCCTGACTTTGTTTTTCTTAAGCCAAGGGAACCCAATCCAAACCCTAAATCTTATCCAATGAAGGGAAAGTAAAGGGCAAAAGAGTATAACGAACGACGAATAAAACAAAAGTTTAAGCCCATGTCCAGGTGTGGGAAATAAGTTAGACCCATTTGATACAAAAAGCTATCAATGGCTGTTCTCTATGCATAACCGTCAAGTGCTAGAGACTTAGATGCAAGAGAACATGGTGAACTGTTAACTCAGCAAAATAAAAAGCCTAGAGAAATAGACTCAAAGGCAAGGAAAGGGAAGTGAAGAGAAGAGAAGATGGTTGAGTGCTCTGAATCATTCAAGGGTGTTAAGAGGTATAAATACTCCTAATAGAGGCTCACTAGGGTTACCATGAGTAATGACTACGAGAGATACGATGATTGTTTGGTGAGATTTGTCAGTTGTGTGTGTGAGAGAGAGAGAGATGGAGGGGGGGAGATGGTGTACCCACAACAGTTATCCATCGTAATCCATGGTACTAAATATGCCAAAATCTTTAAACCTCACTGACCAAGTCATTCTTTCTATACAGGTATCAAAGGAATAATAGCCACTTTGAGAATGGGAAAATGAACTTCTTACCGCAAGTAATGGTAGATATTGTTTATGGTTGCGTCTTCTACAAGCATTTTCAAGTGGATGGGGGGTGGAATTGACGGGACCCTGACCTATCCTCGCATATCAAGAGACTCGGGAAGGTGAAGAGGGGAGGGGGGTTTCCTAGGGTTTCAGGTTCCTTGTTTTGATCCATCGTTTGCTATTTCGGGCCCTTTTGAAGCTTTTCTATGAGACGAAGTCTGGCAAATTTATGCCCTCTTTTGGTTGTTTTTCAAGTTTTATCTGGTCCAATTTATCTAAGAGGCCAAGACTTAACTACATGTGCAAAGGAGTACCTGCGTGTTTCTCTAGTGCTCATTTTCATCGACTTACCACAGACCCCTCTTCTCGTTTCCATTTCATCGTTCAGTGTTTTCCTTGATTATTGAATAACTTACCCTGTGGTACTCCTAGCTATTTGCATGTCTATACATCTCTTATCTCTTGTATATGACAAAGGTTTAATTTGCTATCTAATTTGCACATGGCTAAACTATATATTGATAAGACACTTGTAAGTAAATGTGCATCTACATGCACATCTAACTTATCACTTGCTCCAGTCTCCTTTAATTGATATTCAAGTGGACGAGGAGTGATCATTCCATGGATGTTGTGACTGACAATAATATTCTATCAGTTCCCTTTCTCATGGTAATTATCTCTTAGTTGAATGGTATTCCATGTATATTGATATTCCATGCATCCATCCATTTCCTCCATGTTCCTTCTAGCTTCGGAGACGGGGCCGGACATGGGGGTCATCATCTTGAATTATTGAATTTCTGTAGGTCCCTCCAACTACATAATGAATTTTCCTTTTGATTCACTTGCAGTCCAGTGGGGAACAATAATATTACCCTTTCTTGCATGATTGCGTGTGAGTGGTACGGTTTGATTTTCTACTCAGGTGTTTCGATTTTAAAAGGATTAATATCCAGATATTCCTGTTCTTGATTACATCTGGATTTAGAGTTAGTTAATTTCCTTTCACACGTACGGCACGGTTAAGTATCAATGTTCATCAGTTCCAAATTTTCTACTCAGCAGATTTTGATGGCTGAGATTTCGAAATTGATGGTCTAAATATTTATGCATGAAGGATATGTCTTCGCTAATTTGAGAAAAATCAAATCTAAAAAAGAAAACGACAGCATGTGAATTTCTGTACTGGCAAATCTTTTATAATCTTCGTTCATGAAAGTTTTTTGAAGCTTGGAAGAAATATTCACAACCTCTCGAGATGCCAAGATGAAATTGTCGTTGTTTGCCCCCAAATTCATTTTGCTAAGACTATGTTAACCACCTTCTACTTTATACATCAAGAGGTTATTTTAGATGACGTTTGATCTGATCGCGAGACATCTTTTTTTCTAGTTAATTGATTGCTTTATTCTAAAGATCGTATGAATTTCTTTACGTTCTTCGTATCAGTCTCTGTTTCTCCTTTGCCTATGCACACCTTGCGCACTAATAATATACCTCTCAAATCATAAACAAATCAGAGTTATATTTAGTTTTTTTTAATTGAGATAAGTATTCATTATTAGTTTATACGTGTATCAATTAATTTTATAAATTTTAAAATTAATAATTATATAAATTTTTAATAATTTTAAGATTTAAACTAATGATTTTTAAAGAACAAATTTAAAAACTAACTAGTTAAATTATATTTTTTAGAATTTATATTTTTTAAATTTATTTAAGGTTACAGTTACTATCAATATTAGAATTTGTGCTTTTAAAAGTAAGAATTGTTTTTCTTTCAGTTATTTTTTCTAAAATAAAAACCATAAAATTACCATCCCGGTACAGTGATGTTGTGTAAACAATTATGGGTTCTTTATGAGCGATAATAAATAATTTGATTTTTTAATGCATAAACACTAGGTCACTGTGTTTGATAAGCTATGATCAAATTATACTTTCTCTCTTTCTTTTTTTGAACAAGTCAACTTATCCAAACAGCGAGTTGATTGAATAACTTTCATATTATTATTATCATTATTATTATTTTCATCGATTCACGAAACTTGCATTAGGTTTTCTTTTTCATCTTATCACCAACTATACGCGCGCGTGGCCAAGGCTAGATTTTTTTCTTTCAATATCAAACATCTCCAAGAACTGACATGCAGCATTTATCTAGTATCTAGTGCTGTGTGGTACATTAGTAGTTAAGTGAGTTCTCCATGGGCCTTTGTGTCCAAAGAAACCCCTCGACGCGTCGGAATTAAAAACCACCTGAGAGACAAAGAAAGGACTTGGTGACTGGTGTGACAATAATGATGTTGCTGCCATGGTCGTACGGACTCTCAAAGACAGAGAGGAACGAGTGTTGAACACAGTGAAAGTGGAGCCGTTTTACCAATATGGACACTGCCCACTGGCGAGCACAGTCCTCGTACGGACAAACTCCTGCCTCCCCTTTCTCGTTTTTGTTTCTGCTTTCTCGACCTTCTATATTGAAGTAATATTCTCCACTCCTCCCTACGATCATATTCACTTTTTAGGTGGCAATACTTTTATATAGTGTAACTATATATGCATATTTTATTTTGAAAAAAAACACTAAATTCGAGTATCAGTATAGATATATGTTGGAAAAATTAGAAACAACTGCATACCAATTTATCTGGATTAATTCAGTAGAATAAAATTCACAAGTCCCAATTTTTTTTCTCTTTGTGCAATAAAACATAATCAAACAATAATCAAATATAATGCAAATAATCACAAAATCAACACCAAGATTTTAACGTGGAAAACCCGATGCGGAAAAAACCACGGGACCGTAATCCACCTAAAAACTTCCACTATCAACAAATAATGGGATCACAATCATTCTTCCTCATATTCAACTAAGGGATACAACATATATATCATTAAGAACAACT